GGTTTGGATTAGAGGGAGATGGTGCTGCGTTTATCGCGAAGTGATGGTGGAGCCACCGGAAGCACATTATATTGCAAATGGGAAATATTCGAATAAAAATCTTATGTTAACATTTTGACTTACAAAGATGTTGGATATAATCTAAAGTAGGGTCAGATCACTTCACATACTTGCTCTTAAGTTATTTAACTTTCTGTGAAAAATATTTCCAAAACAAGCTCTAAATAAAAGCTAATGGCAGATATGGGTCATAGAGAAGGACGGATGAGAGACTCAGCAGGCCCTGTCTTAGTGGATTGGATTGGTCCACGCGCTGAGTCAGCTCGCCGCAGCTTAACTGTGGCTTTGACACTGGAGGAGAGAAGGGACCCAGGCCACGGAACCCTGATGGTGGGGTTTCCAGGTGGCTTTGGGGGACTAAGGATAGTGAAGAGAAAAGCAAGAGCAATTAAATGTAAGTAAGACTTTTAAAATGTACATTCATTTTTTATTATTAAAGTAACGTACTGCATTACTGTTATTTGGAAAATGAAGATACAAATATGACCAATAATTCTAACAAAAATGCTACTAGTCTTTTTAAACGTCTTTTTTTAAAACTAAGTATTTTTGTTCTTCTAAAGTAGCTAAAATTGTTACACACAAATTTGTTTTTCATTTAACATATGATAGCCATTTTCCCCAGATTTCTATACTGTCTTCATTATTGTTCTTAGTGTTATGTAATAATAGTTCATTCAGTAAAAAGTTTTTTAAACTGAAAAGTATAGGGAAAAAAGTGTGAATGCTTTTTAGTTCCAGGTCCCAGATAACCTGTTAACTTTTTTGAAAAAAGAAAAAATATATATAACAGATAATGTGAAAAATAAAAGCTGCCTCACTATTCCTGTGGCTTTCTCCAAAAATAACCACTCTGAACATTTTTGTGTAGATAGGAAACAGATTGCTTACGTTAGCGTAGATGTTTATCTTTTATATATCCACGAAAAGAAAAGCATCATCATTTATATATTATCCTGTCCCGTGTGTGTTTCGTTTTCTGTATCTTCACAGAAGAGCATTTAGGTGAGCTTTTAGTTTGTGGGAATTAGAAAGTTTTTCCTTCCTGTCAGTTGTGCTCTGTGCGTGAGCGTGCATGCTCCTTGCCGCCCGTGGATGCCGGTTTCCCTTTGGGAGCGTTGACTGCCTGGTTTTCTGGGATGGTGGTGGTGTCCAACCTCTCCATGCTCATCCTCTGGGGCCGGTTCAGTGTCCGTCAGCTCAGGGTGAAGTGGGCCGTTCTTCTGTGGACGTGCACATACCACATCAAGGCGGTCTTGCACGGTGCCCGTCAGAGTGAGCCCAGGGCCACGGGGGCCAGCGTGCTGGGGACCTGGGGTGTCCCTTCATCAGTGAAAGTCCATCTACAAAAAGCTTCTTCTCCAGATTTGGTTTTGGCAAATGCACCTTTGACACGGGGACAGAGCATGTAAGTTTTAAAGTTTTTAAATGCCCAACGGTAGGTTTCTCTTTCTCACCAGACTATACAGATTCAATAGGGTCTTAGAGGACACTTGTTTTTTTTTTCAAAGATTTTATTTTTCCTTTTTCTCCCCAAAGCCCCCCAGTACATAGTTGTGTATTTCTAGTTGTGGGTCCTTCTAGTTGTGGCATGTGGGATGCCTCCTCAGCATGGCCTCATGAGCGGTGCCTTGTCCGCGCCCAGGATTTGAACCAGCGAAACCCTGGGCCACCGAAGCAGAGCTCTCAAACTTAACCACTCGGCCACTGGCCGGCCCCCGGGACACTTGTTTTTATTGCTAGTAGAAATAGAAATACCCTTAAATTTACAGACTTGAATTTTGAGTCTTTTAGTTGAAATCCAAATGTGGGCACGGATTATAGAGGGAGCTATAATCAAAAGATGATATTAATAATTTATGCTATTTGCTAATGAAAGAGAAACGGATCTGGTTTTGTTCTCTTTGCTTGTGACTAAAGATTAAAGTCAGCAAATATTCATATTATTTCTGAAATTTTGTGAAGTAACTGATTTAAATGGAGCTTCTCATTTTAAGGATACTTGGTTTTCAGTAAATTCGTTTCTCGAGTTTAAAGCAGGACAGGTGGGTGATTATCATGTATCTGTCCTTCTATAATACATAAGAAAGAACATCTTATTAAGAGAAATATTTAAATTTAAGATTTCAGAAGTTATGCCACCTAATACTGGAATTTAGGTCTTTACCTAAAGACCCCCTAGTGTCTCAGAAAGTACTTCTTGTTTAGCTATATCCTAGGAGGTTGCTGTTTTTAGTTTTCACTTTAAAAATTACCTTAGCTTTTTAGTGTTTAAATTAGGATCAGAAATTATGTTTGTTGACTAAAATTAACAGTGTAAATTCAGTGTGCCTCGTGACAACATTAGCAGTATTTTTCTTCACATTATTTTGGAAGGATTGAATAAAGTAGCTTCTTTGCAGCCTAAGAATGATTATCCAACATCGGGGCCTGAGGGGGTGTTGCTGGAATAAAACTGCCCTCACGTTTGCAGAAACGTCCACGTGATGAGATTTGATCATGTGTGGAATAGATGAGTGGCAGCTGCATGCCTGGGCTGCCAGAAGCAATGCAAGGCCGTCCATGCGCATAGAGAACAAACACCTCGTCACAGCTTTCTATTTTAAAAACCGTTTCATGTTCTCTTGGCACTGTTGTTATTTCATGCATTAATATTCACACCTCGCAGTGCTTAGAGAGTCTATGTGAAAACTAGAGAGAGAGTTACCACTGTTACCCCATAGGATGGGATGTCTGGGGGCAGCCTCTCCCCTCCGACTCCTGATGCTCCGTGTGAAAACTAGAGAGAGAGTTGCCACTGTTCCCTGTAGGATGGAATGTCGGGGGGCAGCCTCTCCCCCTCCGACTCTTGACGCTCCACGGGTTCCAGAGGCGTGAGGTGCTCCGCCTTCACCGGGCTTTCCGTGTGCTTACTACACCCGCCTAAAGCGATGCCCTTAGAAGCAACTGTTAGTCAGAAATATGCCTAGGACCGTGTCGCCATGCATCGCCTTCCCAGAGAGCTGCAGCAGCAGGCCCTGCCTTTTGCTGTGTCCCAGCTGGAGATGCCTCGGCTGCACATCATGGCCCCGCCCCTGGCAGGCTCTTCCTGGCAGTTCTGCGGGCTTTCATTTAGGGGCAGTGCTGGTGACCTGCAGTGACTCTGGAGGTCCAGCATTTACTTCCCTCACTCTGCTGCCTCCTGCCTGGCCTGCCCAGCAGTTAGCAGCAGTTTGTGGCTATGAGTGGACGTGGGCTGGTGAGTGCAGGGAGAGCAAGAACCAAGAACTCAGATGTGTTTTGTTTTGTTTTTTGAGGAAGACTGGCCCTGAGCTGACATCCATGCCCATCTTCCTCTGCTTTATATGTAGGACACCTACCACAGCACGGCTAGCCAAGCAGTGCCATGTCCACACCAGGGATCCAAACCGGTGGAACCTCAGGCTGCCGAAGCGGAAGGTGCAAACTTAACCGCTGCCCCACCGGGCCGGCCCGTCAGACGTGTTTTAAAGATATGTTTTATTGAGGCGCCGGCCCCGTGGCCGAGCGGTTGGGTTCGCGAAGCGCTCCGCTTCGGAGGCCCAGGGTTTCGCCAGTTCGGATCCTGGGCGCAGACATGACACCGTTCATCAGGTCACGCTGAGGCGGCATCCCACATGCCACAGCTAGAAGGACCCACAACTGAAAAGCCACAACTCTGTACCCAGGGCCTTTGGGGAGAAAAAGGAAAAATAAAATCTTTAAAAAAAAAAAAGATGCTTTTTATTGAGAAGGGTATTTTTGTTTTCATCAATAAATATACATCAAGTTTCTGTAATGCAGACTATGTAACAATTATTTTGAATGCTTTTGTGCAGAATAGAAAAGTTTATCTAGACTAGGAACTCTAACAATTATGCTTTTTGGGTCATCCAGATAATTTCTCCCAGATATGTTTCCATTTTAAGAACATAAATAACTACTGTTAATTAAATGTCTGGTGTATATTATATGAACCCTATGACTTTTACACAAAATCTCTGATGGAAGAATTTTCCCCTGTGTATTTGCATAGGAAAGTGAGGCCCTTGTGCAAGCCGTGTCTGCATGTGGGAGCTGGGTGTATTCTTAAATGATTACAAGATGTCAGTAATTATATCTGCAGCTTTGTGGTAGTTGGTCGTATTTATGATGGACTTAACAGCCATGGTCTTGGTCAGAAATGAAACTTCCAGTTGTGACATGCTCTTGGGAAAATAAGTCTCTTGTTGAGCAGGATGGTTTCCTTCTGACTCTGATTTCAAGAATACTGTCTCTGTCTAGTGAGACTGAGGGTGGGGCAGGGTCAGCAGTGGGCGGCAGGGCCGCTTGTTCTGAGCCTCGGTGGGCCTGTGCCTGTGAGGGCCGCAGTGTTGTCCCTGAGTCTGCTGGGATCCCAGGGCCCATTTTGGTGGGAGAGCGAGTTGTCCGTGAAACAGAGGCCTGCTGGATACCACACTGAGTCCTTGTAGAATTGCTGGGTGAACGTTCCGACATCTTCTGGGCAGTCATGGGTTCAAGATCACTGATGTGGCTTTGAGGTACTGGGTTGCCAGGTTGCCACCGTACCCTGTTTCCTGAACTAATTACCCCTGAGTTTTCTTGTGAGAGCTATTCTAAATATCAGTCTTAAATTCTTGGATTTATAGTGAGACCCAGATCCTTCATGAAAAATGCTTAACAGATTTTTCCTTTTTCAACCACCACTATCTTTTGAGTAATCTGTTAGACATTGTCATTGTACAAATCTAGTGAATAATAATCATATTTTATTAATCCAGCCCTTGGTAGGCATTTTATAAATTCTGATGAATGCTAAAGAAAAGTACCCTGATTTATAATGAAACTATAGCTCTTAAAATTTTCAATTTCTTTTTCTCACCTGCTTCATTAAGTTGCTTAACCATTGTGTTTTAATTTTTGTGCTTGTATTTCTCTTTCAGATCTCAGATTCTTTGAGTGGCTTTGAAGAGCACCAAGATCAGAAGATGAGTGAACTTGACCAGTTACGGCAGGAGGCTGAGCAGCTTAAAAACCAAATTAGAGTATGTAGCTAATGTGTGTTTAGTTTTATTAATCATTTGGATTTCAGGTCGGATACCTGTTTTAGAGAAGAGGGTTACAGAGTGATTATTCAATGTTTTGGATTGAAATTGAATTTCAGTTGCCCAGGATATGCTAATTATCCAGATATTTGGCCTAGTACATTATTTTTAGTATTTTGTTTTCTGGTATATTGTTATTTGAATATCCATAAAACGTTCCCATGGAATTTATAAACATCTTTCTGTACACTTTTTCTTAATCGTGGGAATTAGCTTCGTGAAATTCTTTGAGTCGCTATATTGAGTGTGGTGTCTGCCTCTCTCTCCTGTGACTGTTAAGTTGAGGGCAGAAAACTTGTTTAAAAATAAGAGTTTTAGAGGCAGCCCTCATGGCCTAGTTAAAGTTTGGTGCTCTCACCGCTTTGGCAGCCTGGGTTTGTTTCCTGGTCACGGAACCAAATCACTCGTCTGTCAGTGGCCACGCTGTGGCAGTGGCTCTCGTAGAAGAACTAGAAAGACTTACAGCTAGGACATACAACCATGTACTGGGGCTTTGGGGAGGAAAAGAAAAAAGAAGAAGATGGGCAACAGATGTCAGCTCAGGGCTAGTCCTTCCCTACATACATGTGTACATACATGCATACATTAATCTTTTTTTTTTTTTTTTTTTATTAATGTTATGATAGATTACAACCTTGTGAGATTTCAGTTGTATGCATACATTAATCTTAGCAAGAACAATATAAAGTGTTTTAGATGTGCCTGATTTGTTCTTAAAAAAAAATTTTGAAGAGATGTTCCCTAGGGATGATTATTGGAGTCTATTGGAGTCTACAACTTTTTTTTTTTTTTTTTTTTTTTTTTTTTGAGGAAGATTAGCCCTGAGCTAACATCTGCTGTCAGTCCTCCTCTTTTTGCTGAGGAAGACTGGCCCTGAGCTAACATCCGTGCCCATCTTCCTCTACTTTATATGTGGGATGCCTACCATAGCATGGCTTGCCAAGCGGTGCCATGTCCGCAACTGGGATCCGAACTGGCAAACCCCAGGCCGCCAAAGCAGAATGTGCACTTAACCACTGCACCACCGGGCCAGCCCCGGAGTCTACAACCTTTGATTAGATAGACTGTTAGAGCAGGTACGTCTAATTGAAGATAAAAACAACCATGCATAATTCTTCTGCCCTGTACAAAAAATAACATTCACAGAGTTCTAAAACGTTAAATTCCAATCTGTCACTGGTGTATAATGCTCTGTTGCAGAGCCTATGAGCTTGTAAAAGGGAGGAGGAGCAGGTCTAAAAGGAATGCGTCCCAGGTGCTGGCCCCGTGGCCGAGAGGTTAAGTTCGCGTGCTCCGCTGCAGGCGGCCCAGGGTTTCGTTAGTTCGAGTCCTGGGCGCGGACATGGCACTGCTCATCAGACCACGCTGAGGCAGCGTCCCACATGCCACAACTAGAAGGACCCACAACGAAGAATACACAACTATGTACCAGGAGGCTTTGGGGAGAAAAAGGAAAAAATAAAATCTTTAAAAAAAAAAAAAAAGGAATGCGTCCTGCTCTCCTCTGATTTTGTGAGGCCGTGCCTTTAATGAATATTTTCTAGAGAAACATTTAATATGAGTTAGATGTTTCTGGTCTCAGACTTTTGATATGAATGTTCTGAGACTGTTAATATGAAGAGCCAGAGGAAAAAAAAAGGAGGCTTTATCAGGAAAAACAGTATTCTCAATATATTTAGATGGGTTTTTGTCCCTGTGATGAAGGAGCTTTCTCTCTGACTTTTTTGACTTTAGCTACAAGGCTTGAGCCATCCTTCAAAGCATCATTTTTCCATCCATGTCTAAACAACAATTTATTTTTTGAGATCACTATAAGGATAGAGCCTAATTATTTCCTTTTAAATGGCCAGTTACTTGTTCAGAAATCCTACTGGTAATTGGAGAAAGAAGCATCAGCATCATTTTAGCCAACTTTTTCTTGAACTTGAGAAAAGATAATGAAATTATCTGAGATCTACAGCCAAAAAGGAAACAAAATATCTTTTTACTGTAAGAATTTCAAATCTTAACATTTAAAAGATCTGATATAGCTCAATAAAAATAAGGCTGACTTAGTGTTTGTTTGTTTGTTTGTTTTTTGGTGAGGAAGACTGGCCCTGAGCTAACATCTGTTACCAGTCTTCCTCTCTTTTGCTTGAGGAAGATTGTTGCTGAGCTAACATCTGTGTTAGCTCATCTTCCTTTATTTTTTGTATGTAGGATGCCACCATAGCATGGCTTGATGAGCACTGTGTAGGTCCATGCCTGGGATTCAAACCCCAGGCTGCCAAAGCGGAGCACGTGAACTTAACCACTATGCCACTGGGCCAGCCCCCAGACTTACTGTTTTTAATGGTTTGCTCTGATCAGACTTGTTTAATATGTCTATCTACCCTCCAGAATTTAGAAATCAGAACTTTGTTGTTTATGAGTTGTTATTCATGAACAGTAGATTCAGATCTGTTCATAGCAGATAAAGTTTGTATGGCATAGGTGAAAGACATCCAAATTAGGAAGAAAAATAAAGGCTGAAAGTTGATGTTGCATCTTTTCCCATTTTTTTAGAGCCAATGACGATATAAAGCTTAGGCCGTCCTCCTAAAGGACAGGGCTGTGCTGTGAGCCACATGTGGAATTAAAAATGTGAAAAGAAATAGGTGGAGTTCATTTTTAACAGACTGTATCTAAAACCATACATCTAAAATATTATTTCAACATATAATTAATATTTTTATTGTTTTACACTTTTTTTGTCCTAAACTTTGAGAATTCAGCATGGCTTTTATGTTAAACAGCACCCCTCTGTTGGCACTCGCTGCCTTTCGTGTGGCTCACGGCTCCCACGTTGGGCTGTCCTTGAGGAGAGCAGCCAAACTGCACGCCTCTGCACGGGCTTTGTCTCTGAAGCTGCATCCTGCGCTAATTTCTTTGCACAATACAGGGATGGCAAAGGCTGTTTGAGTCTGTTACACCAAAGGGAAGGGAAGACTTTCTTTAAAAAATGAGAAAAACACTTTTCTTCCCTGTTGGCGAAGGAATCCATACTTGTTACAGAACGCGGGGCGCAATAAGTGCCACACAAGAAGTGGCAGCGGGTTCTGAGAGGGGCTGCTCGCTTTCTTAGATTGGTTGGTGAGCTGAAAGACCTCAAAGGACTGTCTCAGCCGCCTTTTGATTGGACTTGTGAAGAAACAACTAACTCTCAAAGGGTGTTTGATTGAAACATGGCATGTCCTAAAATACACAGGCTGCCTGATGGATTAAGAAAAACTCCATGAAATGTACAGGTGCACATTTTTTACAAAGCGTCTGTGCCAACCCGTGCGAGTGAGCAAGACTCACGGTGTGGCAGCGTCCCAAATGTTGCCATCCAGTGACTGAGCAGAGCTGGGGGCTTTCTCTGTGGCCTGAGTAGGATGGAGCCTTGCTGTGTGTTGTTTTGTGTTTGACAAACATCCAGACAGGTTAAGGAACTGCCCGATTAATGGTTTGGATGTATTCCTCTGGTTTAAGGGGACGAAAAAGGTGAATTGTTACCTTCAGTGACATTTCTCATCATAGACAGTATAGAAGCCTTTGCACTAAATAATATACCCATTATGCACATTTTCACCAGTCCGTTAAATTTGAAATAGATCTAAGAGAGATTGAAGATTTCTGTCTTTGTTAAGTAGTTAAAGAGATGTTTCCATTAGAAGACTTCTTCCTGGATTGTTGGAAGTTGAAGATGCTCGTTCTGAGAAATGCTGCTCCCGTCTCCAGAAGCACTTGTTTGCTGAAATGAAGACTGAATTGAAGTTGTCTGTGTTTGGTTTCTTTTCTTTTTTTTTTTTTAGGAAGATTAGCCCTGAGCTAACATCTGCTGCCAATCCTCCTCTTTTTGGAAGACTGGCCCTGAGCTAATATCCGTGCCCATCTTCCTCTGCTTTATATGTGGGACGTGGTGCCATGTCTGCACTCGGGATCTGAACCTGTGAACCCCGAGCTGCCGAAGCAGAACATGCGCACTTAACTGCTGCGCCACCAGGCCGGCCCTGTGTTTGGTTTCTAAAATGGTTTTTCCCTCTGTTTATCAATAGTGTCTCTACAGTCTGTTATATGGTACATTAGGAGATTTAATTTAGTCTTCGGGCACTAACCAAGGTGAAGTTGCTAAAGTCCCATAGTTCATTTTTTTCCGTTAAAAAATTCTTGTTATTCTCTTTTAAAATTATAAGCCATGTATAACATCAGCAAGGATGGTGTTCAGAAATACGTATTAAGCTAAGTACATGGCAGGTAGAACACGCTGATGAAAGCCTTGACGCTCTGAATCTGCCCCTCCACTTGCTCCTTACACCAGATTTAGGTGCTGGCATAAAAATACTTGATTCCATAATTTTTTGTGTTTTAATTATGTAATTAATTAAGCACAATGACTTCTAATAAGATAAAGTTGAATTTGGAATCTAGATCTTTGGTACATTTATAATAACAATCTCTTCAAATATATTTCCATGTTCTTGGTTGGTAAATATTCCTACCAGTTTCATGAAATAAAAATTACCCGCAGTGAGGCAGTTTGCCCTTAGAGAGCGCTCTCCTGGGACACCGCCCGCGTGAGCACTTGGCTGCGTCTAAAGGCCGTCATGTGGCCAGTTACCATTTTGAAAGCAGGTGGTCAGATGACTACATGATAGAACCGTTTTTCTTCTTAGAAATTGTCATCATGTCCTGTGAAATTATTCCCAGACTCAAATTTTGACCCTTTTAAAGCTACCGTCTCATTTCATAACATAAGGCTTTCTATTTGTAAAAACATGTATGCTAATTTGAGATTTCAAGATTTATTTTCTAGTAACTTTAATCACTTAGAGACAGTGAAAACATTTCCATTAGCTTCCGTGTATCCCTTTGTAGTTCTTACCTGCTTCACAAGGTTGTATTTTAGATAAGAAAACAGATAACAAGATAGAACATCTGGAAAGTCTTCCTGAATTTTGTTGTCTTAACTCCAGACCCTCTGCTCTTTTCCATTGAGTTTAGCATCAGCGAGTGTGTGGCTTGAAGACGAAGTCCTTGGCTAACATGATCTAGAAGAAAAATTCTCTGGGCTGGACAGCTAATGCCTTCTAGACTTTTTTCGCTGGGCCCACGACTCCTGGGCCGTTAGAAAGGCAGAGGGAGACGTGTGTGTTGGTCTGTGGAATGTGTGGGAGCCTGAGCAGGCAGGAGAGGAGGCTGCACACGGCTCTGGGGTTCTGTGGTGCCGCCCTAGCTTCCAGTGTGGTCCTTGCAGTATGGGCCACGTTTCTGGGTCATGGGGGCTTGTACTGGTTAGATGAGATGAGCTGCAGGCCTTGAACATATTTGAGGGTTATTAGCTCTCTGTTATTAGTTCTTTGTGTTATTAGAGTGTGATCGCAGACTGAAGTATTGCCCAGCTAGCGTGAAAATGGCCCTGGGCTACCGGGTGTTAGAGGGAGAGCACTCCATCCTTTTACATTCTGCTTTTGCAGACTTCTAAGAGTTCATAGAGGCTTCCTGAGGCTTTGGTGTGGGGACTGAGGGTTCAGTGTATCTGAAACATGACTAATGTGCCCTTTACTGTTGTTATTTCCTAGGATGCCAGGAAAGCGTGTGCAGATGCAACTCTTTCTCAGGTAAGAGCCAGTTCACACAGAGCCGCCGGTTGGTAGAGGTTGGTGCATGGTGTTGCCTACACCTGGAACCTCTGGAGGGACCTGAGCTGATTCTCTGTACTCACAGTGAGGATGTAAAACCACTGCTTGACGCATTTTCATTCAGAAGTCGTTCTCATGCTAGGCATAGGAAGTAGTGGTTTTTTTTACATGAAAAATAAGTATCTCTCAAGGCTTAAATAATTACTTACTATTACAGAGGTCAGAGTTGCAAAATATTATTACAGTCTTAAAATAAGGTATTTTGTAGCTCCTCTCTTTAACAAAATTTGCTTCAGAACTCTGATTTCTTGTTTCTTCTTTTCTTTTCTTTTTTTATTTTTTTTTGGTGAGGAAGATTGTCCCTGAGCTAACATCTGTGCCAGTCTTCCTCTATTTTGTATATGGGATGCTGCCACAGCCTGGTTTGATGAGCGGTGTGTAGGTCCATGCCCGGGATCCAAACCTGTGAACCTGGGACCGCCAAAGTGGAACCCAAAACCTTAACCAGTATGCCACCCACCTGGCCCCAGAACTTTGATTTTTAAAGTCCAATTTGGTGGATCCTCAAAAAGTTAAACATAGATTATGACCCAGCAATTCCACTCCTAGACACACACCCAAAAGAATTGAAAACTGGTGCTGAAGCAAGTACATGGACATGCATGTTCTTAGCACTATTCACAGTAACCAAAAGGTTGGAGACAGAGCCAGCCCTGATGACTGGGGGTTAAAGTTTAGCCCACTCTGCTTCGGCAGCCCAGGTTCCGTTCCCGGGTGTGGAACCACAGCCCTCGTCTGTCAGCAGCCGTGCTGTGGCGGCAGCTCACATAGAAGAACTAGAAGGACTTCGAACTAAAAAAGATACAGCTGTGCACTGGGGCTTTGGGGAGGAAAAAGAGGAAGGTTGGCAGCAGATGTTAGCTCAGAGCAAATCTTTCCCAGCAAAAAAAAAAAGAAATTCAAGTTGTCTTTGTAATCTCTTAAAAAAAAAAGGTGGAAATAACCAAAATCTCCATGAGTGGATGAGTAGATGAACAAATTGTGGTGTATCTGTACAATGGAATATTGCTCAGGCATAAAAAGGAATGCATTACTGGCATGTGTAGCAATGTGGATGAACCTTGAAAACATTCTGCTAAATGTAAGAAGCCAGATGTGAAAGGTCACATATTGTATGATTCCGTTTATATGAAATGTCCAGAATAGGCAAATCTGTAGAGACAAAGAATAGATTAGTGGTTGCCAGGAGTTGGGGAGGGGAAGTGAGGAGTGACTGCTTAATGGACACGGGATTTCCTCTTGGGGGATGAAAATGTTGTGGAACTCGGTAGAGATGATGGTTGCACAACATTATGAATTGTGTATACTTTAAATTGTGAATTGTACCTCATTAAGAAAACAAATATTTTTGTCGAAAGACTTGAACAGAAATGTGAAAGAAAAATTATGTTCGTGATTCTATAGAATTACCTGAGTTTGAATTCTCAGACATTCTTTGGACTATACTTTTTTAAAAACCCATTATTGTGAGACACTTACTCCATTTTTCAGCCCCAAATCATTAATGTCAGGTTTTTTGTATGTTGGCGTGGATCAGCAGATTTGCATATACCTTTTTGTGCCGTAAGCAACAGTAGCACAGAGTAGATTCTAACTGTTGTCCGCGTCAGTGCACAGCCGGGTCACGGTGAGCAGCGCTGTCAGCATGGGGGCGTGCATGAGGTTGTGATGGAGGCTGACAGCGCTGTCAGGACTGAGAGGTGGGAGGAGCTGGGCCTGGTGAGCAGTTGGTGAGATGGAGGAGAGAGCAGGGGAGGAGTTAGGCGCCTGTGGGCCAGCACTGGGCCTGTGTGCACATTGGGCAGAGCAAGGGGAGCACAGTGGTCCTGAAGACCAGGCAGAGCAGTGGATGGAGTGAGCGTCGCGAAAGGAAGGCATATGCCACGGCCAAATGGAGAAGTCACAGTGGAGAGCTAGTTGGGGGACGGGCAGGAATGGGGTGGCCCAGCGGGTGAGCAGCAGGGCCCTGACGGGTGCCGGTGTTGTCCAGGGGATAGGAGGGAGGGAGAGAAGGCCTCGGGAGATGTGTCATTGCAGAAGGTTAATTTGCAGTAACTCTTATCTTTAAGATCACAAACAACATCGACCCTGTGGGAAGAATCCAGATGCGCACCAGGAGAACGCTGAGGGGACACTTGGCCAAGATTTATGCCATGCACTGGGGCACGGATTCCAGGTGTGTGGGGGCATGAGCAAAACGTAGTGCTGGGTATGTTCAAGGATTGTTGCTTTTCTAGGGGAAAATAATCTGAGCTCGTTTGCTGTGATTTGTAAAAAAAAATCAGGAAGTTGTGTCAGATATCTGGGCAGGCCAGTATAGCATTCACAGGTGCACATTCCCTGTCCATTTTTCTGCTTACCTAGGCAGGTCGTACACTGTCATTTCTTCACCGTCCTAGTCATGTCTGTGTTAGTTCTGATCTTTCCTCCCCCCCCCCCACTTTGTTTTCCCAACTCCATTATGCAGTGCCTGTGTGACCTTGGGGAAGTTACCTAACCTCTCTGTGCTGTGGCTCCTCCTCTTTCCAGGCTGTTCCTTGTGGCATCTTGGCCAGTACCCTCTCGTGGTCTCAGTGCCCTGGCTCAGGGATGATAAAATGTGCCTCATGCGGTCCTGGGAGGGTTGAGTGTGTTGAGCCTTAGAATACTGACATGTGTGTCCCAAGGGCTGTGCACAGGTTTGCTGCTGGTTTTCTTCTTGGAGCCCCTGGCAGACACCTGAGAATGTGCATCGTAGCTGCTGTCACCGGTCTCTCTGCTGGCGTTTTTGCCCCACCTTCCTCTTATCTACCATCCCAACGAGAAAATTCCCTTCATGGGCTTGTCATTTCCACTTTAAATTCTGCCCCTTATTGGGACTTCTTTTTCTGCCAGGTGTCTAATCTCTGTCATGCTCCGGGTCCTTGCTTCCCCTCCCCTTTCTCCACCCCATTTCCCTAAACCTGTAGCATCGCTGAAAGGAAATCTATTCAACTCTCTTCTCTTTTTCTTTTAGGGGCTACCGGAAGGTTTCTCTTCTACCTTTTCCACCCAAATAATTAAATAAAATGCTGTGTGGGGACCAGCCCCCTGGCGTAGTGGTGTGGAGGGTTCCTCTTCAGCAGCCCGGGTTTGCCTGAGTTCAGATCTTGGGTGTGGACCTACACCACTTGTCAGCTATGCTGTGCCACATATATAGAGGAAGATGGGCACAGATGTTAGCTGAGGGCTAATCTTCCTCAAGCAAAAAAAGAGAAGGATGGGCAGGGCCACCCGGTGGCACAGTAGTTAAGTTCATATGCTTTGCTGCGGTGGCCCGGGGTTTGCCACTTCAGATCCTGGGTACAGACCCAGCCCTGCTTGTCAAGCCATGCTGTGGCAGACGTCCTACATATGAAGTAGAGGAAGATGGGCACAGATGTTAGCTCAGGGCCAATCTTCCTCACCCCCAAAAAAAAAAATGCTGTATGATTTCGTACCTATAACATGTTCTTTCAGATACTTAACATATGATTCTTCAAGTGCCTTTCTTTGAGTAGTATTTTTTTTGTGTTTGTCAGAGAGGAATTTTCTGCTTAGTTTTGTCTTTGTTCATGAAATTGTCTGCTTTAGAGTGAAATAGCTGTGGAACAAAAGATTCTATCTTTAGTTTGTTCTGTACAGTATCCCATACAATTACAATGCAAATGAGAGCTAACTTAGAGCATTTTAATGATGGGAGCATTCAGAAAGAATAAAGGAATAAGAAAGAAATAAAAATACCCTTACTAATCTGTTCACCTTAGAATTTATCATCAAAATAGATGATAACCAAACAGTCTGTTTCCTCTGGGGCTGTTCCTCCATCTGTGGGAACATCAGTGTCCTGACTAGATAGGACATCTGATAGACAGTACTTGAGCTGGGCTGTACTTGGACCTAGTCCTCAGGAGCCTAGTACTTAGGAGCCTGCTACTCAGAGCCCAGTACTCAGGAACTCTGTGCTCAGGAGCCTGGTACTCAGGAAGTCTGTACTCAGGAGCCCGGTTCTTGGGAACTCAGTACCCAGAGCCCAGTACTCTGAAGCCCAGTAGCTCTCTTGGCTCCCTAGGCAGTGTGCTGTCTTGCAGTGGCCAGGCTCTCGGTTGAGGAGTCTAGAAGGCTTCCTGCAGAGGTGACACACCACTTATGCCCTGAAGGGTGACTGAGAGCTACAGGCAGCTGCTGCGTTCAGAGAACTAAGGCAGGTACGTGGCCAGAGCAGTGGAGGCGAGGCGAGGGGTCAGGATGCGGAGGGAGGGCGGGCGGGTACTGGGTCGTGCAGGCTTCCTGATCACCACATGCGAGGCTTTCTGTCCCGTTGGTTGAAACACGAATTGTGCTTGGACAGCCCCAGGGTGGGAAGGAAGAGGAGCAGGGGCGTGAATGAGCCACCCCAAGCCCAGGGTCGTGGCTGCTCTGTGGGAGGGGTGGCGTGGGAGAGCCCGTGGGGGCCAGCGGGGTGTGCTGTCTTGTGCCCTTTCCTGGGCAGGGTGATGGGTGTGTGGGCCTGTGCTCTGTGGCTGCTGTTTAGACCGGACAGTTTCACTTCATAATGCCCTTAGATGGGGGCTCTGTTTGACCATGAAAAACAAAAGGATCCCTGCTCTCCAGAGCTTTTCAGAGATTATTTTTTCTAGATAGTTGTGTTTTCTGGATAGGTAAATTTTTGCCTCTTTAAAGTCCAAAATAGTTCTTAAAAATTTTGGATGTACTGTTTTTTTTCTTTCTGAGGAAGGTTAGCCCTGAGCTGACATCTGTGCCAATCTTCCTCTGTTTTGTATGTGGGACACCACCACAGCATGGCTGACGAGTGGTGTAGGTCTGCACCTGGGATCCGAACCTGTGAACCTGGGCCGCCAAAGTGGAGTGTGCAAACTTAACCGCTGCGCCATGTGGCCAGCCCCAGGGTATACTTTTTACTTGAGTCATCTTCATATTTCCTGCCTTCATAAACAGAGGTTACATTCTACCTTTTATAACATTTGAGAGTCTCTTTCAGTCACTGGAATTAATGTTAAGCTTTTTCTCCCCTTTCTAAAGCCTGCTGAAGTCTTCTTATAAGTGACAGCGAAACACGACTGACCAGCTAGGCTCAAGAGCCCTCCCTCCGCCCGGGAGGTGAAGGGTGGGCGGGTTTGGTTCTGGCCCACTGTCTGACCCCTGTTTTCAGCGTCTGGAGCCCTTGGCTTCCTTCCTGGCTCTTGCCTCTGTGTTTGGGGTGGGTGGGGCCTTATGGTAACTGATTCATGAGTGGCTGAAAGCTCCACGAGGCAAACTGGCCTGACTCTCCGACCGTTGTCCTGTCTGGTGTTAAGAGGTGTGTCTTCTCTCACCTTCTGGAGGATCAGTGGCAGCTTAACATTTCTCTAACCCCTGGGCGAGTCAGCAAATATTAAGCTCTCTGACCAGGAGACCTTTCTGAAGGTGACCCGACCCTTCTGGAGGATGAGCTTCTTTACATTGGCTCTGATTCCATTCAAAGCCTGTGCTTAGAAGGGCCAGACAGAAAGAGAGCAGAGCGGACCTTATTCCGAATATTTTTAAATGCCTAATGTGTTTATAACTGAACCTTGATACAGGAATTTGCTTTAAGAAATTATATGTGAAAAATAATAGGATTTGGGCCTGCCTTTGGTTTAGTTCTGTGATAAATTTTGTGACGCAGCGCTGAAAACATTTTACTCCTTTCCATACTCACTGTTAACTCCTGGTAAAGGAAGTTTGTGCTCTGTGCATCGAAACATAAAGTTTGATGAAAAGTGTCAAAGTTATCAGAGCGACTTGAATGAGTTTTGCCTTCAGGTTTTGATCAGTTCAAGAAGCCAAATGTGCTTGTGGCTGAAATGGTTAAAACCTGTGTGTTTTAAGAAAATCTTTAAAAGTAAAAAAATCTTTCTATCATTATTTTTAGCATACCCATGCATCTCTGCCTAGAATTGTGAGTGGAGCCTTCTTGCCGTTCCTTGAGAACCTCATATTCTATGTAGGACAGAGTTCTTTAGGCTATCTCGTGAGTAGCTGTGGTTCCCAGAATTTACTCTTACTTGAATTTCCTTTGCCCGTTAGTTATGCTTTTCTTTTGCAGTATCCTGTCTTAATTCTACAGTGAGAGCACCTTTTCAACCCACAGATCCCAAACTTAGTGCAGTTGCCCAGGGCAAGAAAAGAGTCATGAAAAAAATTCATAACAGTTACTAGTCTCCTCTGCTGGACCAGGCACATCTGCTGTAGTCTGTCATTTCTTTGCAAAGCAGGTGGGAGGTAAGTGCCTCCTTAACGTTTCTAGGAGACCTGGATTCCAATTTTAGCTCAGTCTGGGAAATTTTCATGGGGCTTTTTGGGTGAGAAATGTCTCATGAATTTGGAATATCTGAAAGTTTATTATCCTTTATATCTAGGCTTTCTATATGTCAGAATGGAACAGAAAATTGTATACTAAATATGTTCTACCGCCTTTGGTTCTTGAAAGATCTGTATGTCTCAAATTTGATTTCTAATGAACAGAAACTAACCAGAAGCAGTTATAGGAAGTCAGCCTGTCTTAGCTGACCAAGGCAGTGGCTTTGGTGATCTAGTCTACATTTGAAGCCAAGTGCTCTTGACTCTGAACTCTATTATCTGTGGGAATATTTTCTTTCACGCTTTCAAAGTTGGACTCACAATGAGAACTTTTTAAACCTGTGCTTCATCTCAGTCAAATGCAGTGTTGGAGCACATGTTGGTGTCACTGTGGTGTCGTTCTCATCGGCTGCCTTTGGCTGGTCTCTGCGGTGCTGATGGGTTTGCTTTTGTCTTTTTCCTCCAGGCTTCTAGTTAGTGCTTCACAGGATGGTAAACTTATCATCTGGGATAGCTACACCACAAACAAGGTAGGGACTGCAAAATCCCCCCGAAAAACCACCTGGGAAAAGGCGGGTTTTTAAACTCGGGTTCACTTATGTGAAATGTGTGACCCAGGAGAGGAAGGGGTCACAGTGAGTTTTGTGTTTAGCATAAAGTCACATAGGTCAGATAGAAGCCACGTCATGTGACTGGCACATTTACTCGTCTCCACTGCTGGACCAGGCCCATCTGCTGGAGTCTGTGATTTCTTTACAGAGCAGGTGGGAGGGAGATGCCTCCTTAACGTTTCTGGGAGACCTGGATTTCAGTTTTAGCTCAGTCTGGGAAGTTTCATGTTTTATTTAAAAATACAGAAGTACAGCTTTTCATTTAGTCATTAGTTTTTAGAAAAGATAATCTGAAAGGCATTATATGTTGAAGAATAAATGAAACTGTTTTAAAACTTTGATCCAAGGTTGTATCATATTGAATGAAAAAGTATTATCATTGGTCAAACGTGTAAAAGATCAAATTTAGTTGTATTTTACTGGACAATAGTAAATGTCTATAAAAGACTACAGTACTTATCACAAATCTATCCAAAGCATGGGGAGGTGTGCGCTGGGGTTAGTTACAATAATGTCTAGTTTGCTAACTTCAGTAAAAACCTTTTGTTTTGTAAATGAATTTATGGCCATTTTGACAGGTCAGTCAATTGTCTTCTTTTTAATATGTAATTTTAATCAGAAGCCATACGACTACTACTTAAGTGCCTGCCTAACTGGAAGTGAAGACTCTGATAAACCTGGAGGTTAAATTGGTGTGCAGCACTGGATTTCTAATTAAATTATACTTTTTCTGACTGGCCACACATAGAAATTATTCTTAAAATAATTTTGGCTATTATTTTGTCATGTCCTGTGCAACAAAGTTGAAGACTAGAAATAGAACCATAATGTCAGGAGTTCATGTTTTGAACTTGAGCGTGTTTGCATCATCTGTGTTCTGTCATTTAGGTCCATGCCATCCCTCTGCGCTCCTCGTGGGTCATGACCTGTGCATACGCCCCTTCTGGGAACTATGTGGCCTGCGGTGGCCTGGATAACATCTGCTCCATTTACAATCTGAAAACTCGTGAAGGGAATGTACGTGTGAGCCGTGAACTGGCCGGACATACAGGTACACATTCTCATCAGTAACCTAAAGTGACATACACTGTTCACCTGACGTGTGGTACATGCTTTGGACATTTACCTCTTGTCAACAATTATTTAATGAGATTGGTTGCAACAATGGCCAGGAATATTCTGAAAATGAAATCAAGACAGGCCATGATATGCTTTTACTAGTAAGAAACCTTTGGATTTAAGTCACTGTCATGTCCCATTTTCAAGGATCTCGGGTACTTAGCTAACTCCCTTAGTAGCAGCCACCTTTTTTTTGAATATTAACACAACACAGTTCAGTCTCTTGTCTCCTCTAAACCATCTTCCATCTTGAGCACCTTTCCACAAAGATTTCCTCATCTAAACATATGTGGACGTACACAGGTCTGCATATATGTGCACATATATGTACTTATCCACATACCTCCTTACCAATCGTCCCCACGTACCTATACCAACTAGCACTCTTGTCGCAAAGGAAACAGAATAGAGTCCTAGGCTGTTTAAGTTCTTTCAAACAGGACCAGCTTTAAGTGCTAGGCAGCTTATGATTTTACCAGGTTTAATTTACCTGTGACAGTTATTCTTCATAACGAAAGGCATGGTGTTTCTGAAAAAGACGGTCTCGTCCTAATATTTTACTTCTGTGGCTGTGTTCTAAGCTCTCAAAATTATACCCCGCTAGGCTCACCTACTTCACATGCAGCCAAAGAAATCATCGTAATTAATGGAGTAAGGCGTATGCTTTCGATTCCAGTCAAGCAGTCTGTTAAATTAATTTTGGCCAGTTAAGAGTCTGTCCCTTGTCCTTTTACAGACGTGTTCCCTGTATTTCACTGATTCCTCACCTGCCTTCTGCTTGCTTTGGGGCTGCTTCCTTCTTAATTTTCTAGCTTCTTACAGTGGAACCTAGACCTTTCTTCCTTCTCAAATATGAGCACGTAAAGCTATACATTTTCCTCTAGGCATGGCTTTCACTGCAGTAGGATTCAACATGAAGTATTTTTAAGACCCTTTTGATTACTTGTTTGATTCATGGGTTATTTAGAAGTATGTTGTTTAGGGCCTGCCTGGTGGCACAGCGGTTAAGTTCATACGCTCTGCTTCAGTGGCCCAGGGTTCGTTGGTCCAGATCCCGGGTACAGACCTGTGCACCACTTGTCAGGCCATACCGTGGCAGGCGTCCCACATATAAAGTAGAGGAAGGTGATGGGCATGGATGTTAACTCAGGGCCAGTCTTCCTCAGCAAAAAGAGGAAGACTGTCAGCAGATGGTAGCTCAGGGCTAATCTTCCTCAAAAAAAAAAAAGTATGTTATTTAATTTTCAAGCATCTGAAGTTTTTTTAGATAATTTCTTACTATTGATTTTTAAATGCCATTATGTTCAGAGAACAAATTCTGTACCATTTTAATTTTAAATTTATTGAGACTTGTTTTAATGTAGCAAATGGTCTGTCATGTTGACCACACCATGTGCACTTGGAAAGCAAGTTTTTCCTGCAGTTCTTGGGCAGCGTTCTCATTGTGTTAATCAGTGGAAGACTTTGATGCTGTTCACATCTTCTGTATCTTCATTTCTATGAATTGCTGAGAGAAGGATGTTAAAATCTCTGATTATGGATTTATCTATTTCTCCCTTTAGTTCTGTGAACTTTTGCTTCCTCTGATTCTTTAATTCTGTAATTATTGCTTCCTCAAGCTCTGTTAGTAGAAGTATATCGCATTTAAGACTGTCACATCTTCCTGATGAACTGACTCTCTTACCATGATGAAACGTCTGTCTCTCTCTCGGATTTTTCTTTGTCATAAAGTCTACTTACTTTATCTCACGTTAATAATAGTCACTCTAGCCTTCGTATGCCTGTTGTTTGCATAGTATATGTTTTCCGATCCCTTTTCTTTCGATTTAACTGTATCTTCATAGAGTCCCTTACAGGCAGCACATCCAGTCACGCACCGCGTAACATTTAGGTTAACGACAACGTTGGTCCCACAAGATCACTGCCATGCAGCCTAGGTGTGCTATAGGCTGTGCCGTCCAGACTTGCGTCAGTGCACTCTGCTGTCTGCACAGTGACGGCGTCACCTAACAACACATTTCTGAGAACACGGCCCCGTTGTTAAGTGACACACAACTGTGGTTGGGCCTTGCTTTTCATCTATCCTAAAGGTTTCTGCCTTTTCCATGGTGTTGAGTTCATTTCTGTTCTGTGTGGTGCTGATACAATTTGACTGAGCTCTGGTGCTTTACCATAATTCTCCTTTCCTCCCTTTTTTGGGGCTGCCTGATTTTTTTTTTTTTTTTGGAGGAAGATCAGCCCTGAGCTAACATCTGCTGCCAGTCCTCCTCTTTTTGCTGAGGAAGACTGGCCCTGAGCTAACATCCGTGCCCATCTTCCTCTACTTTATACGTGGGATGTCTGCCACAGCATGGCTTGATGAGCAGTGCCACGTCCACACCTGGGATCTGAATCGGCGGACCCTGGGCCGCAGAAGCGGAACGTGCGAACTTAACTGCTGCATCACTGGGCTGGCCCCTGCTTGATTTTTTTTTTTTTTTTCTTTTTTGGTGAGGAAGATTCACCCTGAGCTAATGTCTCTGCCAGTCTTCCTCTCTTTTGTATGTGGGTTGCTGCCACAGCATGGCCACCAATAAGCGGTGTAGGTCCATGCCCAGCAACTGAGTCCGGGCTGCTGAAGCGGAGCATGCCAAACTTAATCACTATGCCACGGGGCCAGCCCTGGGCTGCTTGATCCTTTTTTAGAATTCTATTTTAGTTTGTTGGCTCTTTTGGTTACCTCTTTGCATTATTTTTGAGTGATTTATCTAGGGATTACAGTGCACACTCAAGTTTTTACAGTCTACTCAGAGTTAATCCTGTGAAATGCAGGAACCTCGCAGCCAAAGGCCTGTGTGCCGCCTCCTTGTTCTCTGACATCTCCGCAGGCCTGGCGGCTCCATGCGGTGTGAACCCCACAGTGCAGTGTTCCAGCTGTCCTTTCAACATCCTGAGCCGCTTGAAGAAATGTGAATAGTCTTTTACATTCACTCAGGTGTTTTCCACTTCTGGGGCCTTCCCTCCTTCCTGAACACGAGTTCCTTCTGGGCCTTCAGCCTGAGGGGCACACTGCGGCGGCTCTGACAGTCAGTGCAGGTCTGCCAGCAGCGTCTCCTCTCCACGTTCACGTGTCTGGGAATGCCTGTTTTCCTTCATTCTTTTTTTTATTTTTAAAGATTTTATTCTTCCTTTTTCTCCCCAAATCCCCCTGGTACATAGTTGTATATTTTTAGTTGTGGGTCCTTCCAGTTGTGTCATGTGGGACGCTGCCTCAGCGTGGCCTGAGGAGCGGTGCCCTGTCTGCGCCCAGGATCTGAACCAGCGAAACCCTGGGCCACCAAAGTGGGGCAAGCGAACTTAACCACCCGGCCACAGGGCCGACCCCTGTTTTCCTTCATGCTTGAAGAATATTTTTGATGATTCTGGGTTGACGTTTGTCTTCTTTTAACACTTTGAAGATTTTTCTTTGTGTTTTAGCAGTGTGACTGTGATGTGCCATGTCTTTAACTAAATTGGGGGATTTTAGGCCATGTCTTCAGGTGCACTTCCTGTCCTATAGTCCCCTCTCCTCTTGCACACCAGCGAGTGCGCGTTCCTACCATCCCTTAGGTTCCTTCAGCTCCGTTCCTTTCAGTCTCCCACGTCTTCAGATTTGGTCGTTTCACACCTGTCCTCAGGTTCATGTGACTTCTCACCTCCACTAAACTGTTTATGTCAGATTTTCTGTTTTCAGTTCTAGAATTTGTTTGCTTTTTGTGTGTGTGTGAGAAATATCGTCGCTGAGCTAACCTCTGTGCCAGTCCCCCTCTGCTTCATGTGGGACGCTGCCACAGCGTGGCTTGATGAGCGTTGCTAGGTCCACGCCCAGCATCTGAGCCTGCGAACCCTGGGTTCCTGAGGTGGAGTGCGTGAACTTCACCACCATGCCACCAGGCTGGCCCCTCTGCTTTTTTAAAAATACTTCATGAACACACACACCACTGGGAGGGCTGTCTTCACCTGAGGTCTCCGGCCCCGCCCCTCCACAGATGCAACACCCCAGGGAGGAGCCCATCAGCACCCACCCTGTGTCCGACAGACTGCAGCCAGCGGCACACTGCTGCTTCCACCCCGGCTTGTTTACCGCAGCTACCGTCTCACGGAAGACACCTCCACGCCCCTCCTTGGCACCCGATCCCAGCTCTGGCTGTGCCTTCCTGGGGCTCAGGGGCCTCTGCAGATCGCTCGCTCCCTGTTCCTTCCCTAACACATACACACCTTCTTGTGGGCTCTTTATTTTCATTCTCTCTCCCCACCAAAGTGTGAGCTCCAGGAAGGCTAAGAAGTGCCTCTTTGTTCATGGACGTGTCCCAGGCACTCCGGGCACCGGGTCAGTTCTTGTGAAGTGAGCGAATGAGGAGGATTGGGAGGGACCCCCGGCCTCGACATGGTGACCAGAGGAGCAGAGGAGGCTGTGCGCACTTCCCGCTCACTGCTGCCAGGCCCCGCTCACAGTGCCTGCCAGCCCGTGGGCGCTGTGCTCACTGCCACATCTTTATCATGGTGTCAGCTCCTCCTGGCCTGTGGGCCACGCTGTGGCTCTCACCCAGCAGAGCATGGTGACTGTGGGGATTTGTTCATTCTTCACTGCACATGAGGCAGGGGGCGGGGTAGCTGACCAGGCCTTTGTTTGAAGCTAGACGTGGAACTTGCAGGTATCTTTGTTCTGCCAACACGTTTTTCAATTTACAAGACCGTAGAATTGGGGGCTTGCAGAGTGGGGTCATCGTCTAGGTCTGTTTTCCAGGTTACCTGTCCTGCTGCCGTTTCCTGGATGACAATCAGATCGTCACCAGCTCTGGAGACACCACCTGGTGAGTATATGAGCTCTGCACCCTTCTCTTCCTGCTCTCCTCACACCTGTAGCTCTAGACACGTAGGAAATAAGATTCTGAACGTTCATGAGGACATTTTAATTTGCAGTGGCCACGAGACTTCGAACACAAGTGGCAGTGAGTGATGAGTGAGTTCCTTGTAGATTTTGAAGCTCAGAGTTTAATTTTGAACAACTAAGAACTGATTCATAGATCTTGAAACCACAGTGGGGGCAAGTGCCTGCTTTGCTTTTGTCCCTGCGTGTTCCCCTGTTGGGGTGCCGCTTGCAGCCTTGTGGTGGAGCGTGCTTTTGTCCCCTTCTTAGGAGAGCACCATCTCACTGTGGACGGAGAGCCTGGCTGAAAACAGCAGGTGCCACAATTTCAAATGGATTATATCAAACTTCTTAATTTTCAGAGTTTTCACCTTACTTATACGTAGAAGCCCACTTACACTCTAGAATGTTTTCATTTGGGCACCATAGCATATAATTTAAGGGATCAGCTAGTTATTTCATAAGAGTCATTTTAAAGATTTTTTTTTTCCTTTTTCTCCGCAAAGCCCCCAGTACATAGTTGCATACTTTTAGTTGTGGGTCCTTCTAGTTGTGTCATGTGGGATGCCGCCTTAGCATGGCCTGATGAGCGGTGCCATGTCTGCGCCAGGATCTGAACCAGCGAAACCCTGGGCTGCCGAAGCGGAACATGCGAGCTTTAACCACTCGACCACGCGGCCGGCGCCCCAATAAGAGTCATTTTAGACTTAAACCGTCCTCCTGGGTTTTCCTGATCTTTAGAGGCCTTATGCAGCTAGGAGCTGGCTGGCTGGGCAGCTGCACAGACGCCCAGTCATGGCAAGGGGATGTCCTCCTCTGGTTCTGATGTTCTTATCCAACTCGTCCTATTTTACAAGGTGTCCTTTTTGTATAAATTTCATGGGTTCACAAAAGATTTATAATCTTGGCTGTTAATTTTGTGAAGAATTTCTTTATTAGAAGATATTTTTAAAGCTTTTTCATTTATGAATAATTTTTTTCAGACTCCTGGAAATGTCTTGCTTCCTTTCTGTAGGCCCTCAGGCCCTAGCAAGGAAACGCCCTGTGCAGTTTATGTTGACACAGTCTGATTGGACTCGTGTTGCCAGGCTGAGCCCGATTTTCTGTGAGGCCGAAATGAAACCAGCAGCTTTCGGGGGGGGGTGCTTTCTATGGGTTGAAGCATAGAAACAACACGAACACGTGGGTTTGTCCCCTCCAGAGCCGTCCTTGCTCGGCTGATGGTGCTGTCATTGCCTCCTCTCTTCTACCCTTTAAGTAGCCGCACAGCTCACAGCCGAGGGGCACCGAGCTCCACTCTGCCGCTGGGAGCACCAAGCCACTCTGTTTGTGGCTCCAAGAAAGGGCCAGGGGGCCTCAGCATTGCCCTGAGCTGTTTTTTACCTGGGGTTATCTCTGCATCCCAACCTGTGGGACCCCAGAAGGCACACCGCTGGCAGCCGCAGATAGAACATGCTGTGCCCCGTTTGGGGCGCTAGCCAGGAGCTTCCTCCTGCCCCTGCGAGTGCACACGGAGCTCACGTGTGTGGCACAGCCTCCAGTGTCCCTGCTGCAAAGAGACCTGGCCCCTCCCTGCTGGCGTTTGAACTGTGGAGATGAGTCACCCAGCGTCTGGCCACGTCCTCATCCGCATTGGGTTTGTTGGTTTGCCTCGTTTCCCTTCCAAACAAAATTGCATTACAAAATTCAGATTTGTCTTAAGCAAAAGCACAGACGTTTACTGTGGTCCTGGGTGGTTTGAAAGACCGTTTGTCACCTGACTGGCCGTCTGAGAAAGTGAGGTGACTGTGCTTGTCGTGTGCTCTGCTCCAGTGCTCTGTGGGACATCGAGACCGGCCAGCAGACGACCACGTTCACTGGACACACCGGGGATGTTATGAGCCTTTCTCTCGCTCCTGATGCCAGACTGTTTGTTTCTGGTGCTTGTGATGCTTCAGCCAAACTCTGGGATGTGCGAGAAGGGATGTGCCGGCAAACTTTCACCGGCCACGAATCTGACATCAATGCCATCTGTGTAAGTTGGGGGTTAAGATGTGGTTGGGGTCCTTCACCAGGTGCTAGCAAGTTAGATTACTTCTTGTAAACCGTAGAATACATCAAGTTTTAAAATGTTTTCAGAATTAGTTGCTCTCCCTTTTCTATGCGAATATGACCTAATTTACAAAAACCTCCCTATAGAAAACTAAGGTGTGATGTGATGTGATCTGTCCTTGCAAAGCCAGCTACTTCTGTACTGACCGTTTGTCTTACAAAGGTTGGTGCTGTGTCTGTGCTGGGCCCTGCTTCTGGTCCTGGGGTGAGCCAGTGATGGGAATCACAGGGCTTCCCTCTAGTTGGGGGACAGACAGGGCAGTAACCTCGTCAGGATAGGCTCTGCAGGGCTGGGGCTGAACCTGGAGCAGGAGCCTTGCCCACCAGTCGGGGCATGCAGAATGCAGGAGCCTTCACTTCTGCATGTTGCCCTGCTTGGAGGGGCCAGCCTCGTCGGAGAAGGCGAGGGACGTGTCTGCTTGGGGTTCCTTCTCTGCCTTCCTCCGTGAGGCCTGGCTGCTGGCAGCCTGCAGAGAAGCGCCAGCCTCCCGGGGAGGACCCTGACTGTTCCTCGTGGAAGTGAATGATAGAATGCAATTTGCCGTGGGGAAGACGAGCGTGTCCTAGGCCCCAGACCCCCGTCCCTTTGGTGCGGTCTCCCTGTTTCTGCCCGAGCCCAGCCCTTGCTGATTTTTTTCTCCTGTGGCAGCAGTAGCCCTGCTGTTGGGCAGTCCGTATTTCTAGTATTTCTTTTTGTGCATTTGCACACTGTCTTGATTCGCTTTCTTTCTAGTTCTTTCCAAATGGCAACGCATTTGCCACTGGCTCAGATGACGCTACCTGCAGGCTGTTTGACCTTCGTGCGGATCAGGAGCTCATGACTTATTCCCATGACAACATCATATGTGGGATAACCTCCGTGTCCTTCTCCAAGAGCGGGCGCCTCCTCCTCGCAGGGTACGACGACTTCAACTGCAACGTCTGGGACGCGCTCAAAGCCGACAGGGCTGGTAGGTGACCATGGGGCCTTTCTGCGTCTCCTGTATGCTCAGGTAATCTCTCTCAGGATGGACATGGCTCACTTAAGGTGAAAGGTTTAGGTTTGGATCAGTTGGACTGGCAGGAAACGTGTGCTGCAGCCGAGTACACCTGCCAGCCCCATGGTGTGGCCCAGCAGAGGAACGTGACAGGCTGGTGGTGTCCAGGCACCAGAACCTCTTCCCACACACACTCGTGAGGTGCATGTGGGCAGGAAAGGGGCGAGTGCCCAGTCTTCAAGGCCCCTGCCTTGCTTTCTCTCTCCTCCCATTGTACATCTTGGAGCTCTGCCATCTAAGTGTGGAGCACGCATTCCGGCAGGCATGCCCCAGTAAAGTATAAAGTGAAATTCACACATCAAAGGTGGGTGTGTTGTTGTCAAGTGTCTTAAAACACAAGTTGTACAAAAGATGAGAACTTCCTGTGTTGAAATGGCCATTGAGGGCAACTGAGCGGAATTGACAATTTTAGAGTCTTTCATCTCTGCCTATCTCAGTGCTTGGGAGGGAGGGAGAAGAGAAGGGAAAGAGACTGGGTCTGGGGTTTTCCCGTGACTCCCCGCTTTTGGATGGCTCTCCTTCCTGCCTCTGGGTTGAACTCCCCCTTGTTCTCCCCTGCTCCCTCTCTCATACCCTCCAGCTCCCACTGCCTCTGCCCTCACAGTCCCCTGTCATGGTGCCGCTGAGGACTATGGAAGCCAGCCAAGGCTGTTGGCAGAGAGCACTGCTTCCTCCAGCTGGAGCTGGTCCCTTCCTCAGCTGTAACACTGCTGAATGCAGGAGGTGGACCAGGGCTCTCTGAAATTAGCCTCAGGTTCCACTGGGAGGACTGGAATGTTCTGGCTGGTGATAATCCAAGCCAGACAGCCGACCATCAATAGGAGGCCCATCTCAGTGTGTGGGGTCACTGTGTGAAGCCCCGGTGGCCCTCCCTCTCGGCGTCCGTCACCAGCTCTCTGTGTTCTGTGCCCTGCCCTAGGCCCTAGGGGTCACAGTAATGAAGAACAGCCCACAGCCTTACACTCTCATGTTGTAACTGCCCTGGGATTGATGCGGTTTTGGTTTTTTTGTCATGATTTTTGTTCCATTTTTATTTAAGCTGCTTACCATCATGCATGCTCAGGGGTTGGTGCAAGAAGGCCTGGGTTATTTGTCATGTGTTTCTGCCTGCCTTGTTATCATGCTGTCTTTGACAGGCTGGTTACCAGGTTCTCCCGTATATTTCTGGTTTTTTGAACACTCCCCCTGCCGCCCCACAGCTGTAGGTCTGTCCTCGCTGTGTTGAGACAGGAGTGCTTTGACTTCTACTCGCCTTGGACGAGAGTGGTGATGTGCTTCTGTTCAGTTTCCCTCTGTCCAAACTTCCTCTCCCTCCTGGCTCCTTTCTTGATGCTGAGGCACTGCAGGGGCTTGACCTCGGGGCTTCTGGGTCTGCCTCAGTGAGTGGACCTGCCACCAGCCCTGTACAGCATCACTGCTTGGGGGACATCTCTGGGACCCGGAGTGACTGTGCTGTCATTTGCTCCCAGGTGTCTTGGCTGGGCATGACAACCGTGTCAGCTGCCTGGGGGTGACTGATGACGGGATGGCCGTGGCAACGGGGTCCTGGGACAGCTTCCTCAAGATCTGGAACTAGTGCTGACAGGTAATAATGCCCTTCGCCACATATACCTCCACGTGTTTCTCAGAGCACAAGTGAACTTGCAAGTCATGGTTTCTAGATTAATTTGGATGTGGAGTTAACTTGGAATTGTGGTAAGGTAAGCATTTACATCAGCCTGAAGTAATGTGCCCCTCAGCTGCAAACACAGATGGAGCCGTGGAAAGAGCAGTAACACTGATTATAGATCTGAATTTAGATGTTCTGTTTCTTTTTACATTTCTTTAAATTCTTTACAACAGCAGGTGGATGCCGCGGTGACTGGAAGACCATTCCAACCTTGAAGCGTTACAGTGATAGCATTTCCAATCCCCTACTAACGTGGGCGCCCTGCACCTCCCCCCAGAACTTCAAAGGGCAAGATCTTTCTCCTTCACTTATGCTGAAACCAAGAGCACAACTCCCATTAAGAGAAGAATCTGTGCTGTAAACTCAACAGACATGCATTCCTTCCGGGACCATTGTCTTTGTTTTCTTTTTTGTCTTGAATGAATATAAAAGGAGATACTATTATAATAAAAATGTTAACCAGAAGGTAAACTGGAGTGTAATTGTGAGACAGACAGGCCTTTCGCTAGTCTATTTGAGTTTTAGGTCAGCGATCCTGTTTCGTGAGGTTCATGCAACAAGTTGAGGACTTTCCCTTGTCATTGGTTCTAAATTTCAGGTCGTGTTGTAACAGGGTTTTGAAAACATTTATATTTCCTTTTTAAAATATATTCCTTTATGTTCACTAGTGAAACAGAGAAAGAGAGTCTAGTGCAGGCTCTCTGAAATTGTTAATGATGTAAATTTAGTCCCTGGTTTTTATTTTTTGTCCAGTGTCACACAGTTGTTGCGCACAAACATGGCGTAGAAAGAACGATGCTAAGAAGTGACACAGCCGAGCACGCGCTGTTGTCTTGAATGCGTGATGAACAGTAAACTCCAATCAGGACCTTTTTCTTCCCCAACCCATCCTCCACCTTCTCAATTCAGTTTTTAATCTCACGTTGGGTTTCCTTGTGAAGTTGGAGGGAAGTTTATAATAATAGCCTAACACTACCCCGTGCCCCACCCCTAAACATCAAGAACCTCTATTTTCAAGAGAGGTGCCCGTCCTGTGCTTGGATAGTCAGTCAATTATTTGTGTATGAAACAATGTACAAATCAATGTTTTGAAAATAATGATCTCAAACTTTCTAAGTTAAATTTTAAAAAATTTGATCGTTTGCCATATTGGGTGGGTTTACTCTTAGAATCGCATGCTGTAGAAATGCTCAAAAGTGCATATAGGACTCAGTCCTTAGATGTTCTTTTTCTTTTAAGAAATAACCTCTTTGAAGTTGTAACCATCGCGGCTCTGTCCACTTCTCTGTGCACACGCATCGGAAGCAGCACAGTACGCAGCTCCACACGCTTGAGTGACAGGATAGTCACTATTTTCTTTATTTCTCTAAAAAACAAGTCCTGTTCCAAACGATTGCTGTTGGCGGGGGTGGCGGGGAGCAGGGACTGGAGACCCCGGCCCCTCTTTATGCATCTCTTGCGGCCTGTCTCTCTGCGGGGCACGCCTTTGCATCTGAGGCAGATCGTTTTCTAGTTCGCAGACTCCTGGTATGTCTCGAGTCCGCTGTTCAGCAGCAGCGTTTAGACAGCAGTGTGTGGGCCTCCCCTGCACCCTGAGCACTGTCCCAGAGCAGCAGTAGGCTTCTCTCCATCCTGTTCCTCTGCAACATCCTGTACAAAGCTGTGCTGTGACATGCGGAGGCCTGGGTCTGGCAGAGTTGAGTCAAGCGAAGCCCCTTCCTTGTCTTTCCATCGCCGCCTCTGTAGAGCTCTCTGCACCCTGCCCCCTCACCTTTTGTATTTAATTTTAAGGTCGGTGTACTGCAAGGAAGCTGGATGCAAGATAGATACTATATTAAACTGTGCTGTTATTTAAGATGTAATAAAGCAGTTTGACATGAGGGACTTTGGTGTGGCTGCTTTTTTGCTGGTGTGTTTCAGTTTATGGAGGCGGCCACCTTCCCCTGGCTGCCCCCTCCTCAGTGAGGTCTCACCCACGTGGTTGGGTGGCCAGTGCCTCACCAGCCCTCAGCTGCCCACGTTTCTGCCCATCCTTGTCCCCATCACAGAATCCATCAGAGGAGCAGTGGACCTCAGACAGGCTCTGCACAGCAGCAGGGTCCTGCAGCCCTGGCCACCGTCACCACCCAGACCACCCTGTCCCATCCACTCTCAGGCCGCTTCCCCAGGTGATGTGGGTCTCCTGAGGCCACTATCCTGCTCTTCTCACCTGCACCCCACCTGGCGGCCCTTCCCTCCTCTTCTCTCCCTAAGAGATCTGAGGACATTACTCCAGAGACATGCTTTCCTGCTGACTGAGTGGTTTTCATCATAGTCTGAATAAAAGAACTGCATCTTGTAAGAAAACGTGAGCATCTGCCACCAAAGCGTGAGAACCAAGCATAGCACGCGAGTATTACTGAGGAGGCCGCTCGCTCCCCCTCCCGGCGTCCCTTCCCTGCCTTCTCTGCCAAAGGACACACCATCTTTATTTTATAGGTTCTGCGAGGTTATAAAAGGTAACTTGGCAATCTTCCCGGGTCACACGCTGGTACTTTTCCTAAGTAAGTGAAGATGGCTCTCGGTGGGCAGCATCCTGCCCGGGCTCCATCTCCCACTGTCTGGAAGTACAGGCAGCAGGGGCCTCCGGACTTCGCCTGGGGAGGGCCTCAGCGGCCCCACGCCAGGTCTCCTGTGCGTTTCTGCCGGGAACAGGGACGCTGTCTCTTGGGTGACTGGCAGCCTGAACAGTGTTCACCTGGCTTCAACCTCCTCCCCCACTTCTCCTGAAATAAATTTGTTCTTTGCAAGTTTTAATGCTGCCAACTGTCTTAGAAAATGCCAGAGAGCATCTGAGGTGCTCCCTGGGCAAGCAGCCTGAGTCCTCCAGAAGGAGGGTCTCCTGGGGTCGAGAAGCAGGGGCACAACTGCCGGTAGTGGCCCACCCTCAGGTGGCACAGGTGGATACGAGGTCAAATGGAGCCTCACCAAAGGCTGGCTGGCCTGCAGATGGCCACTTGTTCCCCTCAGGAACCCCTGTGTCCAGTGCCCCAGCCTGGCACCAGCATGTCTCCTGCGCCCTGACGTCGCAGCTGCACAGCACAGCCCCTCTGCTGGCCTCGAGGCTGCTGTCCCACTTTCTCAGCAAAGCAGTCACTGAGCACAGGTGCCAGCAGGGGCATTTGAGAGCAGCCGGCTCCTGTGTTGAAGGAAGCGGTGTGTGTGCTGCTAGTGGGAGCCACAGTCTGCAGTTGCTTTCTGAGCCTGAGCAGGACCCCTTAGCACTCAGCCTCCGATGCCTGACTCACCTGGGAGATGACCTCTCGCTCCTGGCCTCATCCCCTCCAGGGGGCCAGCCCTTCTCCCTTTTCCTCCAGCCGCACCTGCAGCCTCTGCCCCCTTGGGTCCAAGTCACCGGCCCACCTGTGGTGCTGTGCACACTTGCCACTGGTGCGATGTCCACTTCGCCCAGCACCGAGCCCCTCGCAGCCGGGCCTCACAGTGACCCTGTGGGCCCTCACGCTGGCCACGCACACAGTGTCTGCTGCTCACCTCGGCCCTGGAAGCCAGAGGTGTCCCCTGCCTCCTCCAGCACCTGGCACTCACGTCTGCTCACGCAGTGGTCACTGCACCAGGGCGTGGGTTTCCCTTCGACCCTAGCAAGGAGCAGTACCTACCCAGCCACCACGGGGTCCTCGGGGTCCTCGGTGCTCTCCCTGCCTGCCTGGACCGACCACCGACCACCGACCGGCACTGGGGGCTGCAGCGGGCATGCGCTTCTGAAGCAGGCTCCCTCCTCCTTGCCAGCCCTGCCTCTCCCTCCCCACGCCCCACCCCCACCACTCTGCTCTGTCTCCCAAAACCAGACCAAAGAGGAGACTGCCAAGTGGGCAATTCCAGACACTGGACCCTGGGGAGGACTGGGTAAGTCCTGGGAAGGAGGCTGGAGCTGTCCTAGGCATGCTGGCTGGAGGCCAGAGGCTGGGAGATGGACAAGATGACCTCTGGAAAGCCCAGATACTCATCTCCTTCCAAGGGGGCTGCAGTCCCTCTCAGCAGCCTGTCACCCAGGCTCCTGGCCACTTCCCCTATTGGGTGCTGAGTGGGCTCTGTTCACGCCCGTTCACCCCAGCTTGGCACAACTGAAGCCAACTTTCCCCAGAGCTAAGAGCAGGTCCCAGAAGAGGAGCACCCCACCACCCCCTGCACCTGAGAGCCAGGGGCACCCCCTGCCTGCTCCCAAGAGCCAGGGAGTTCCCCAAACTCATCCAAAATCCAGGGGCACCCCCTTGTCAGCTCTAGGTGGGTCACCTTATCCCACCCACCCTCCAAGGCTCAGGCTCCCCACTTCCACCACCCACCCCACACATCCCGCTGTATCATTCTACCTTCAGAAGAGGATGGGTCAAGGTTTTGGGGGTCTGAAACTTAAACAATACCGGAGTCATATTGAGAAAAAAGAATATAAAGAAACAAATACCAATTATGTTAAGAGTTGCAGGCAGCCCTGGTCCCGGGAAAGGGTAAGGCATTGGCATGTCCCCCCCCGCCAACCCCTGTAGCCTGGCCGGAAGGGAGGAAGCTCCTCCAAGGCCTGACTGGCATCCTCCCCCACGCTGGCCTTTGACCCCGCTGCCGGCCCTTCCCTCTCCCCACCACAGCTGGCTCATCCTTGCACAGCCTTTGGACTCAGCTCAAGTGAAACCTCCCCTAGGAACTTTCTGGATGCCCTAAGTTGCCCCTCCCAGCATTGGCCTTCGACTTCCCTGACAGCCTTGGGGCACCGGGTGTGAGTTCAAGGCCCCCGAATCCCCAGGGTGGGCCCTGGGGCCTGCTGGAGGAAACTGCACAATCAGCGTCAGCCCCTGTGTGCTCATCTCTGAGATGGGGAAGTGTCCCTTCCCCAAAGTCTCAAAGTCCAGGGTAGACAGAGGGTGTTGATTACAGACACGCACCTACACAAGTTCCCTTTAGAGAGACATACACGGAAGGGTGCCTGCTGTGTGACCTTGGCTAGTTACACGGCAGCGCTCCTGCCTCCATGCCTTCTCTGCAAAGACTGTCCCTGCTTTAGAAGGTTCTTGGGAGGCCTAGCCCAGTGCCAGGTATGTAACAAGTGCTGGATCAAGCATTAATATTTTTCTTATGTTAATGATCACATCCAAAAACACAGGTCGAAAGGCTTCTCCTGTGGGCATGGCCAGCAGTCACTTTGGGGAAGCAGCTGGGTTTACAAAATAACCAGATGAGGAAATTACAGAGCTTGAGAAATCCCCCCAAATTACGGCCATCCTTGCCCCTCCTTCCACTCACCCTTCGTGACCCGACTACTCAGTGGTCCTGGGACAGCAGTGAGACGTGTCCTGCTCTGTTGCCGTGTTCCAGGTCTCTAGACACAGGGCCAGGAGTCCCAGCCAGAGAATTCTGACGGCAGCAGGTATGGGGTTTGGGGAAGCCTCCCAGGCTGCTGTAGGACTCCAATCCACACATGGCCTGGGCTAGCTGCTCCATCTCGGGGAGCCCTGAGTGTAGAGAAGGAATAAAGGATGGCACTTGGGGAGCCAGGCAGGTTAGAAAGCACCAGGAGGTGCACTGCCCAGGTTCATCTCCTACAGTAACCCTGCAGCAACTTATTCACAGACGTGTCCCAGGAGCCTGGCACAACACTGGGACAAGACTCCTGAATGCAGTAGTGGTGGGTAACCGTCAATTCAGCAAACCTTGGGAGAACTCATCCACCTGGGGGAAGTGCCTGGACCAGGGAGGCCCGCAGCTACACCAGAAGCTACAACGTGAGTACTGTGGCCTTGGCTCCCTTCCTCCCTCCTCCTTTCTGGGTCCTTGAGTGTGGGGACACGGGGGAAGAACAGTGTTGGCAGGTCACCGTCGAGGGGCCCCTTTGAGACCCTAGGCCTAGAGCCCCTGAGGTCCAGGTGGTGTGCAAGGACCTACTAGGCTGCTTGGGGTGGGTTAGGTCCACGATGTCCAGGGGGCAGGCCCGCTCCCTCTAGCTGAGCCGGCAGCCGAGGGGTGCGGTTCTGTCGCAGCTGCTCACATCGAGTTTTAGTTCCCCAAACATGTTCCTCCTAAGCAGAGTCACACCCTGATAGTAATGAAATCCTCGGCGGGTGGTGGGTGTCACCACTCGCCCGGACCCGCAGCCAGCCCACCTAATTCGAGGTGGAGGGGAGCGGGGGCGGGACAGGGGCAGGGTCAGCGGGCTCGGGCGGGAGGGCAGACGTGCTTCCGACGCAGCGGAGTTAGTGGGGACCAGGTGTCATCCTCCCTGGGCCGCCATCCAGGTGCGGGCAGCCTGGGCCCCGCCTCCTGGCCGCCCCCCCGCCTCCTCCCCCATCCAGCCCCGGCCAGCGTCCCCGCCAGGCGGCCCACGTGCGCAGGGCGGCTGGGGCGCATGCGCGGGGAGGGGCGGGGGGAGGGGCGCGCATGCGCGGGGCGGCGTGGGGCGCGTGCGCGTGCGCACTGGCGGCGCGGCGGCTTTGCTGCTTGGCGGGCCCGGCGCCGCGGGCCGGTCTCCGTGGGGAGGGCGCGGCCATGGGGCGGGGAGCGGCCGCGGCGCCAGGGGCCGGCTAGCGACGGCGAGCGGCGGCGGGGCGGCGGGGTCTGCGGGCTCGGCCCGGCGACGGGGCGGCCCCGCGGGCGCCCGCGGTAGCGAACGGTGAGTGCGCGCGGCCGCTCGGCCCGGCCGCCCGCCCGGGGTCGCTGCCGCCTGGGGTCGCGGGGGTCGGGGTCGTGAGGGGCCGGGGAATGCGGCGTCTCCGCGACGTGGGCCGCGGCCTGAGCTGACCCCTGACCCCCGGGCGCTCCTGGGGGGCCCGAGTTCACGGTCTGGCGGTGCCTCCGAGGGCGGGTCCTCGAGGGCTGGTCCCTTCGCTTAGGACGCACAC